GGGGCCTCCCCTCCACTCCCCTTCCAGGGCTTCCCCTCCTGGCGCTGCCTAACCTGACCGGAGGCTGCACCACGACCCCAGCACCCCAACGCCCCAGGTGGCTGGTCTGGGGAGCTGCCCTGGAGACTGCAGGAAGAGAGTTAAACTCAAGGGAAAGTGTCTGATCTCCTTCTCCTTCCCCACACCCATTGTTTGAGAAAACCCAAGGGGAAATCAGGGTAGAATTCCTCCCAGAGCCCCCCGCCCCCCCTCTTCAGACAACCTGACTGATCAGGTGCCGGGTGTTGGGCCGATTTCCCTAAGGGTGACTTCAGGTCTCATTCCGTGGTAACCCCGAGGGGACTCAAGGACCTGGCAGGGGAGATGAATGCCCAGTCATCGTGAGCCCCCAAATCCACCGCTCCAGAAAAGGGGGGACTGGGAAACAGCGTAGAGCGACATGATCCGTCAGAAGCCCCAGTGAGCCGAGTGTGATGAGGGCAGCCGGTGCGTCTGGGTGGCAGGATGGACTCGGACGCTGCCGCTGGCCTGCTTGGCCAGGCGAAGTGGAGGCCAGGCCCGAGCACATGGGCGTCTGGGACAAAGGGCCTGGGCGCCGCCGGGCTGCCGTGGCCTGAGCAGACGGGCGGGGAGGGCGGGTGACCAGTGGAGTCCCGCCTGCCTGGGGCGGCTGGCCCTCCGTGCAGGGAGAGGCTGCGTGGAGAGCCCCCTCCCTGCCGCCCGCCAAGACCCAGGAAAGCACTCAGCACCCCGAGGGCGGCCTGCGCCCCCACCCAGCCCTGCCTGCTCGTTTAACGACAGATTTAAGCTGGTGCCCCTGGCGGACACCTGCAGGCTCTGCGGCTTCGGGCACGCGTCTCTCCTCGCACTGTCAGGAATCGGAGAGGGCCAGTGGGCAGTGGGATTTTCACTTCTCCCCTCAGGCCACCTCACCCCTCACTGGGTTTCCTGCACTTCCTCCCGCACCCTGTCCTGTCTTCTGCCAACTCTTTCCCCCAGGAGGCCAGTGTGGCCTTTGGGGCACAAACCAGAGACCCACACTGAGCCTCCTGCAAGCCCTCGGCCCTTGAGGGCCCCCCCACCCCGTCCCACTGCCCCTCCCACGCCGGTCACCCCTGCCCCACCTCCCGCATTTCCTGTCCTCTGCCCCAGCTTTCTCGGGTACCTGGCCTCTTCGGGGTCCCCCCCAACTCCTGTCATCTCCTGCCCTTCACATTTCAGCCTCAGGTGACCGAGCACAAACCCCACATGTCTGCCCTCAGGGCCCCGACGGCTCCTTTCCGGCACCTGCCACCGTCTCTGGCTCTGATGCTCCCCGCACCCCCGTAAACCCCCCCCAGGCCAGAGCCACAGGTGCACCCCCGTCTCGCTCAGCACCTGGCCCGCACCTGGCGTGGACAGGGCGATGGTCACCTGTGCTCAGTGAGCTAGGGGAAGATGGAGCTCAGCCACGGGCCGCCAGGCCTGGGGGAGCAAAAAGGCCTCCCTGGTTAGCCCCCAGGGCGGACACGCCCACTCAGACACCCTCAACCTGGGCCGTTCACTCCCCCTTCGGCCACCTGGTGGACCCCCTCCCGGACGTCCCCACACTGATGCCGAACTTAGTACGGACACCCGATGGCAGGGTGCACGCGGCCAGGAGCCCTGGGCTCGCCACCGTCCAGCCTCGGCCCCCGAGGAGCTGGGATGCTGTGGGCACCGTCACAGCGGTCCCCTGCCACCACACCGGGCGTGGGCCGCAGTGAAAGGCAACCTCCGGGGCCCCCCTGGTGGCCCGGCGCGCTGAGGTGCAGCACTGAGCTGTCCCGGGCCCGCAGCCCGAGTCCACCCCGGCCAGGGAGGGACCCTAGGGCGCGGCAGGCCCCTCCTGTCTCCCCGCTGCCCCTCGGCAGTGTGTTTCAGTCCATCTGCCCGTCCTGCTCCCCACTGTCTCTGGGGCGTCCTCTCACCCCCCACCTCTGGCCTGCACCCCAGTTCTCATATGCATAAAAATAAACCTTAAAAAAGTCTTCACTAAGCAGCACAGAGGCTTCGGCTCGAGGTCTCGGGGCAGCCGGAAGCTCGGACTGTGCCTGCTTGCTCTGGAAGGACTTTGCACACCTGTGAGCCCTTTGAGAAACTGCCTCTGGGGACGCTCAGCCCTCCTGGGGGGTCGTGGGGGGCGTGGGGGCCAGCGGGCAGTCGGGCAGCCCACTGGCGTGTGGGGGGCGTGCCGCGGTCCTGCAGGAGAGGGCAGGGAGCCGCTGGGCGCCTGATTCCGCTGTGGAGGCAGAGACCTTGGGGCTGCTGAACGGGTCTCGGGTTGCTGATGCTTGGGGTTGGCGATGGGGCTGCAGTGGCTGGGGCTGGGCACTTGGGGTGTATGCACTTTGCATGTGGGAAGGGCAAGAATTTGGGGCTGCTGTGGGTTGAACTGCCTCCCCCCAGGAGAGAGTGGGGTGGAAGGTAAACGAGGCGATGAGGGCTCAGTGGGCTCCGATCCCAAGTGACCAGAAGGCCGGTCAAGGGGACGTTTGGCGCAGAGGCCCTGGGGACTGCTGGGCAGGCGGGGCCCCCGGAACCGGGAGGCGTGGGGGGACTGCAGGAGCTGTCTGGCAGGCGTGACTCCGAGGAGGGGAGCGGCAGGGCGAGGTTACAGCGCACCTTCCTGCTCGGTTGTGGTCCAGCCTGGTGCCCGGGCCATTAGCCCGCCTGCGTCCCGGGCTGCTGCTTGGGACTCGGGTCTCGTGGCTGTTTCTCCGCAAACTGCCCCAAGTCGGGGGTTTCGGAAGTGACGTTTGTCTTCACCTCTTTGGACGCAACTTGAACTCACTCCTCGCGTTGTCTCACGAGCGACGGGAGCGGGCGTCCTCCACCCGACCGGTAGCGTGTGTCTACGTGGAGACACACTGGCACTTTTTTTTTTAATTTTATAGTAGTTTATTTTTACATATTTTTGTGCATTTTCCCATCTCAGCTGCAATCCCCTCGGGCTTCCCACCACCAAATCACCCGTCACGTGCCGGCATCTTATTTTTTAAGATAAGATTTATTTTATTTGTGCACACAGAACAGAGGTACAGGCCAGAGGTGCGGGGGTGGGGGTGAGAGGACTCCCCAGAGACAGAGCGGGGGGCAGAACGGGCTAACTGATGAAGCCCACTGCTGAGGGGGCAGCGGGCGGTCAGGAGGGGTCTGCTGGGCCTGGGGGACCCCCCCGGGGGGGGTGGGGATCGAACTCCTGCTGCAGGGGCTTCAGCTTCTCCGTGCTGCGCTTGACCCGCTGCGCCCTGGGGGGGGGTCACGTTTGCACTTCCCGTGAACGAAGCAACCAGCCAGACAGACGGGCGTCCGCGTGGCTTTTGTCTCCGCAGAGCCCGGGGCCCAGGAGCCGGTGGAGGACACTGACCCGAGCACCTTGGCCTCCAGCACGGTAGGTTTCTGCGCCGCCTCCCGTGGGCCTCCGGCTTCTCTTGCTTCCGCTTCTCTGCTCAGTGGCTCCGCGAAGATGGGGCCCCCGACGCCGTCCCTGGACAGCCTCCCGCACCCCGGTGTGACACGGTCGCTGGGTTTCCCGAGCCCCGCGCCCGGAGGCCTTCTCAGGGCAGAGCAGCTGGCAGCGACCTGGGGCAGCTGGGCTGCGGGTCTGCTGCCGGCCCGAGACCTTCTCTTCCCCGCCTGCGGCGTGGCTGCTGTGGAGCGGGGGGCGCGAGGCCCGCTACCAGCCCCGCCAGACCCCGGGGCCCCGGCCCCCGAGTGCGCGGGTGCGCTTGCCCGCAGCCGCGTCCGAGGCCGGGCACCCTGGCGCCCGGCCCCCTGGCCTCGTCCGGGAGCTTCAGGCCCAGGTGGCGCGCGGGTCTGCAGCGGGCCCCGTGGCTTCTCTGACGTGGCCCCAGCTCGCTGCCGTGCTGAAGTAACTGTCCATCTTGGTCTCCGCAGCCAGACAAGTACCCCGTTCAAGACACGGGACCCCCGAAAGGTACGTACCCCGAGGCCGCCTCAGCCTGGGCTGCCCGGTGGCGCGTGGGTCCTCGGGTTTCTCACCCTTGGGAACTGCGGGCCAGATGCACCGAAGAGTGGCCGGGCGCAGCTGAGATCCAGGCGGGGTGCGGTCGAATACGGTTCAGTCCCTACTTTTCTGAAGATTGTTGATGCGCACAAGAGCGGGGGTGCAGGCTAGGGGTGCAGGGGGTGAGAGGACCCCCAGAGGCAGAGCGGGGAGCAGGACAGGCGGGCCCTGGAGCCCACTGCTGAGGGGGCCAGGGGAGACAGGAGGGGTGCGCTGCGCCCCGGGGTCCCCCCTTGTGCTGGGTGGCTGGGCCAGCCCCACAGTGCTGGGCACTGACCCCTGCGCCCAGGGGCCCTGGTCACTTGTGCTTTCCAGAGGGGGAGATTCTGGCCCAGTGAGAGAGCACGGGGTGGTCGCCCGGGGCCTGGGAAGGGGCCTCTGTCTCGGGACGGGGCAGGGCGGGCGCGCAGCCTCTGAGCACGTCAGGCAGCGCCCCAGGCCCGAGGGGCCCTGAAGGGCCTCGGTCGGCCGTGTGCACAGCAGAGGCCCAGTGGCGGTGGCTGCCCGAGCCTCCACTTCTGCTCTGTGACCGCCCCAAGGGGCGGTGGGAAAGGTGGGGCGGGACGGTCAGCATGGGGACCAGCCCCAGGATGGGGGCGCCCAGCGTCCCGGCCAGCTCGGACTTCCCGGCCCGCTCAAATGCGGTTTGCCCAGCGGTCTTCGTGGCCACAGGACGGAGGCTGTGGGCACCCCCAGCTGAGCTGCAGCTGCACCTGCGGTTCAGTCAGGTCCCCGCCCTCCCCCCCCCCACTCACAGGGGACACCCCGCTCCCTCAAGTGAAAGCAGGAGCGTTTCCTTCCTCCTGCTGCGTGTGCCGGGGGCGGCCGTGTGCAGGGCGGGGAGAAAGCCGCTGAGCCCTAGGTGGCCGTGCTGGGGGCGCCCGGCAGCCTCTAACCTGGGCCTAGGTGCTTGGGGCGCCGAGCTCACTCGACAGCTTGTCTCAGAGGCCCAGGGGGCTTGGGGCGCTGGCCAGGGGCCCCTGGGGAAGAGGAGCCAGCTGGGCCCTGCTGACCGGCCGTCACGCCAGGCCCCGGCTCCCGTCTGCAGAGCCGGGTGTCATCGGGTCAGTGGCCGTGCGCCCCGGCGCGTGGGCTCGGGCAGGCGGGCGGAGGTCTGGCCCAGCGCTCAGCCAGGGGTCAGTGTCCAGCCCCGCCGGGGGCTTTCAGAGCAGAGCGGCGACAGCAGAGCTGAGGCGGCGAGAGCGAGACGCCGCCGAGCCGCGCTCAGTCCGGGTTCGGTGCCGCCGCCGCCGCGCCGTGGTTTCCTGTTCTGCAAGGGCGCGGCCGCGGCAGCCTCCCACTGGGTTTCTCCGGCACTTGAGTTTCACAAGATTCAAACGCAGGCCCGGGGCCTTCACGGGCCGCGAGCGGTTCTCACGCGCGAGCCGGGGCCTGGCGCTCCTCTTTGGGGTCAGCGGCACCAAGCCCGGGCTTCCCACCTCTGAAGAAACGCACCGTCCCCAGGGCAGGAGCCGCACCCACACGTCTGGGAGCCTCCTGCTAACGTCTGCGACCGAAATGCCCCAGTTTAACGCCTCTTAGTATGTTTTTAGTTTAACCGTGACGGGCTGGTGTCGTCACTAAACATTTATGATTTTCTCATTTGTTTCCAGGGAAAGCACCTGCTCGAGTCAGTGAGGACGCGAGTAGGTTTTCCCGTAGCTGAAATAGCTGTGTCAGTGCACGGCGGGTCTGACGCCCGGGGAATCCGGTGGGGCTGCTGTAGGCAGTGGAGGAGTCGTCTAGAACTAGGCGAGCCATTCCGGAAGGTCGAACGCGTGCAGATCCACACAGCACCAAACCAAAACACTCACCGACCCACCCTGGGCTGGTGGTGCGCGCCACGCCCCGGCCCTCGTTACGGCAGCTGAGTCAGGGCGGAAGCTCCCGTCCTCGCGCTGCGGAGCATGCTGGCTTGGGCCTAGGGCTGCGGTGGGAGGCTCAGAGCCGAGGCCCCGAGACCAGGCGCCCCGGGGGCCTGTTTCCTTCCGGGGGGCCGAGGGGGAGGCGCGGGATGTGTCTGGAATCCCACACGAGAAAAGCTGTTACTCCCTGGTGGCCAGCGGGTCAGGACGCAGTGCTGCAGGCTGGCCGTAGCCACCTCGTGCGAGTTCGAGCCCCGCCCCGAGGTGACCCCCGGGGCGCGGCAGACCTCTCCTGACCGCCCGCTGCCCCCTTCGGCAGTGGGCTTCCTCCATCTGCCTGTGCTGCTCCCCGCTCTCTCGGGGGAGGCCTCTCACCGCCCCTGCACCTCTGGCCTGCGCCCCAGCTCTGTGCATCGATAAATTAGAGAAAATAAGTAGCTGAATCAGTCACCCTCTCCTGCAGTCCCAGCTTTCGAACCCCGGATTGAATGACCCGCACTAGGGAATCTGTAACTGCAAACATTTACACTGAACTATTTTTATCGGCTTCAAGTCCGCGTGCAGTGCTGAATGGCGCCTGCCGGAGACTGGCCTCCCCCTGCCCACTAGTCATGGCAGTGCCTGGCGCCGGAGCACCCCGGCGCCACCAGAGGCCGGCGAGCTCTCCCATTGTCTGGGCCGCCACGGCGGCTGCCAAGCCCGACCCCCAAGGGCAGTGGCCGACCTCCCGCCTCCTCCACGGGACAAGCTCAGTCCCGGCATGGCCGTCCCAAGTGGCCACCGGCGGCCGGAGGCTCAGTGGCCCCGTGAGCTGAGTGTGGGCAGCGTCCGGGCAGGGCTCGCCCTCACAGCCCTTGCGGGGGGACTGAGGTGGCTGCTGCAGGCCGCCTGACAGCGCACTGGAGACGGGCGGCAGCCAGCTCGTCCTGGAGGGTGCTTGAGGGCCGAGCAGAGGACAGACACCCCGGGGACGCAGTGGCCGGCACTGTCGTGGGGGTAAAGCGGGCCAGGCCTGGCCGAGTCTCTCTGTAGCCACTGGCCGTCCGCCTCCCGGCCAGCCTGCGGGGCGGCTCTCACCCCAGGTGACCGGCAGGTTGCGGGTCCCAGCCTGGGGGTCCTTGTTCACCATAAGGAGCCCCCCGGGGGGCTGCCCTGGGTTGCAGAGAGACTCCCGGGGCCCGCGGGGTGCAGTGGGTCCCGAGGACGACGTCACGGACTTGCCTGAATCGAAAGCCTCCTGGGGGCTGTGCGGGGGGGCCCCTTAATAATGGCCACTCAGCTAGCAGGCCCTTCGCGGGGGGCAGCGTGGGGAGCAGCAAGCCCACTTGGGCTGGTGATAGCAGGTGTGTGGGCGGGTGCCACTGAGTCTGGTCTCATGCAGGCCAGACGTGGGGGGGGGGGCGAGAGGACTCCCCAGAGACAGAGTGGGGAGCAGATCAGACCGACTGAGGAAGGACACGGCTGAGGGGCAGCGGGGGACGCGCGAGGCCTGCTGCGCCCTGGGGCCTCCCCTGGCCGGGTGGACTCGCGCTGGTGGCTGTGGCCGGCCCCTGGTGCTGGGACCCACCCTGCGCCCGGGGGGCCCCGAGTCTCGGTTCCAGGCCCGGCACAGCCACCCTGATGCCTCTCCTCTCTCCCCAGCGGAGCAGTGCGACGCGGTTACCCTGCCCTGCCCGGCCAGCGCCGACGTGCGACAGCAGGTGAGACCATCGCGCTCACGTGTGGCCTGCGTGTGGCCCTTCAGGAATCACGCTGTAGGCGCCGGACAGCCGAGGAGGGCGGGCTCTGGGGCGTCCTTGCGCACCCGGCCGGGGCCCTTCTGTGCCACTTCCGCTACCTGGGGTCACCGTGTCATGCTCACAGCTGGCCCACTGCCCCAGGCCGTGTCCGTCCCGCGGGAATGCTGCGTTCTTTTACGTGTGTTGGGGTGTGGTGGATGGGGACTCTTTTTTTTCAAGCCACAACAGAAGTAGGTAGTTTTATGACATTTTAGTGATTTTTATAACTTTTTCAGACACCGGAAGTCAAACGTCAACATTATTTCCCTTGCTCTTTTTCCAGTGAGAAAAAAAATTGGTTTAATGCTTTCTGATTATAAAAGAAAGCTATTTTAGATTTCAGATAGGATGGGAATGTACCCCCCACCCGAGAATTACCATCACTCCAGGGCTGCTCCTTCCGGATGCTTCCCTAGGCGCGGAGGGTGCTTCTCTCACTTCTGTCCAGTTCATTGCGTTTCACGCCCTCAGAGCTCATTAGCAACGTCGTGCCAAACCTCAGCATTTGCTGAATATATTGAGAGCGTCAGGCACCCCAAGAAGCAGCCTGGGCCTAGGGCGCCCCTCCTCCCGTAACTCCAACTTAGTTTTCAACAAGACGCCTGGAAGTTGGCGTAGCCTTGCTTTATTTCTTGCGTGTGGAATAAGCCCTCGAGGGCCGCCCGGGCACGGGCACTTCCGTAATGAGCAGCGCCATGGAGTTGACGCTGGAACGGGCCGGTTCCGGTGACCCATTCCCTGCCTCTGCCACTCGTCTCCGGGCGCTTGACTCCGGGCTTCCGCGTGCCCACTGGGGTCACGTGCTCCTTGTTCCGGACACTCGCTTTTTCCTTGAAATTTCGACATAATGGTTGACAGTGACCAAAGTTAAACTATTTTTTTTTTAAAGATTTATTTATTTGTGCATACAGAACTGGGGTACAGGCCAGAGGCTTAGGGGCGGTGAGAGGCTTCACCAGAGACAG